CAGTACCCACTGTTTTATAATTTTTAGAATTGCATTTTTCCATCCCATTTCGTTGACCCAACCCCAACTCGTTGCAACCACATCCCTAGTTTCCCCACATGTAGGATCTTTTTGTGGGATGAGAATTTCAGAATAATCCTCAAAAGTACAATATAGCCTATTCCCTGGATCTAACAATGAACTTTTATCTTGCTATAAGTAGCCAGCAAATTGCATGCTAAACATGTATGAGGAACAAGAAATCAAGCATTCAAGCCCCTTGAAATGTTATCCTCGTACTCATAATGTAACTTATAACACCAGCATCTAGTTCTCATAAATTTACACTATATTCTTAACCTCCGAGAATTACAGATTATAAGGAAGAGATAGCATGAGATAAAGGAAGAGGAAAGAAGGAAACCTGCATGATGTCCAAAATCAGAATTGTATTTACTACCCAGCTTAAAACATGATCGCTCATCGTGAAATGGGCTACTCTTGCCGTAAGAAGCAGAGGGCTTATGGAAATTGGATGAGTTTCGACGAGAATACTGGTTTCCAAAGTGGTGACGTGAGCGCTTCAACAACATTGAGCGGCTCAGATTGTGATGATGATGATGTTGACCAAGGGCAAGTTGAGAGATTGGTTGCTTTCCATGACTATCCATGATTTCTTTAACAGAAGAATGAGGCTTGAACATACCACTGTTTTCTGGATCAGAAGCATTCTGCTACACAAGTAAACAACAGAAGCCCTTGGATCAGGAAGAGACAATAAAAGAGTAGCAACACATTACATTGAAAGCATAAAATAAACAAAAGCTCACTTCAAATCAAATTCCGGGGTTCACAAATGAAAATGCGCATGCAGTTAGTGGAAATTTTCCAAGAAAACATCTAAATGTAACATTAACCATCTACTATAGACCCTGCCGGGCAACAAGATCTGAATATGCAGCTTCAGTATTTCCCTATTCCTTGACACAAACTAGTACAAGAGAGGAGACTATCTCTGAAAGGTCCACTAGGGAACATTTTAAAAAGGAAAACAGTAAAAATAGGATAGACTAACATTTTCAGCACAAAATAAAGGAAACGATACAAATACACAAACATAAAAGCATTAACGATAATGAAGAGATAGAGATATAAGGTAGAGCCGTAGAGATAGTAGTAATGGCACTATGGCAGTAATACAACTACTGACTAAAGACACAAACAAGAAAGGGGAAAAGGTGAAAAACCTAGGAATGGTTTTTTCAGAGTTTAGACAATGGAAACTCTGCTTTAGCAATGGGTTGGGCCTTTATTTTCTATCTTTGACCTGTTCTGAACATGTACGAAATAAATAAGAGTGTAGTACAGAGATTGGTTGGTTGAAAGGGTCTCAGCCTACAGTGATCTGAACTTTCTTCCAAGACGTGAACAGCAACTGTTACCAGGTTTAAATTATGCCTATATTTGATACATCCAAAGAATTGAATAAAAGTATGCCTAATTGCCTATGTTTGATATTGCTAGAAGACCTTAAAAATTTCATATAGGTCTCGAGTAGCTGTGATACCAAATTCCTAACTAGATTTGATTTATTTAGTTTAGCAGCTTTGGGAGCTTTATCAGTAGCATAGTAGCATTGCAAAATGCCAGCAGATTTAATAACCAAAGATGAATAACATAATACAATAGTAAAAAGCAGTACTAGTAGAATAGTAGCAGTAGCAATTCTAGGGAGAAGACAAACCTCCCCAAGTGTCAGATCCCTTCCTGATGAACATGGCATGGAATCTGTAATATAAGAATCAAGAAGTTAAGATGACCATTTGTAACACAACCAAAAGCAATTTATCTTAATGTGAGCTCCCCGCCCAAAGTGCTTGTCAAGGTTTGTCAAGTGATTAATTCAGTGAGAATGATTATTATAATATTTAGCATTGGAGAAACATAGGGATATGGTGTACTATATATATTAGTACTCAACATGCATTGGAAGGTCTATTTCAGAATTCAGCAGATAGTATCACATTTTTATCTAAACCTAGTATAAGTGAAACTATAACAAAAAGACTAGAGAAAATCTCAGTGTTTCCCAGCATTAAAATAACCGTCCAACTGAGGCTTCCAAGAGCATAAGACCTCAAAAGCTAAAAAAAAATTCCAAAGCATGCCCGAAAAAACCCTGATTCTACAGATTCATCCTCTTCATCATTAATTGTGATGAAGGAACTTCAGCCTTAATTGATGAAGAGGGAACTTTAGCCTTAATTATAATAATTGGCCAACTTTTATGGCTCTCCAAGTCCACTGCTATCACTCTTGCCTGAAAATCCTAAAATTTGACAATACTGTTCCAATCTGAAATACGGTGCTAAAGCTAACACATGCATGTGTCTAAAAAGTAAAAACCCAAATCAGTAAATTTCCTTAAAGTTTGGCATTCCTTGGCACAGGAATCCTGCAGTTCATATCATCGTCCTATAATCATAATAATTTGAGAAAACGTAGCTTCAAACTGAATTAGGGCAATAGGCACCAATGTCAAACACAGGCAGGTGTGATTAGAGGCCCAACTTCGTCAAGTTTCTCATAATTTGACAGTTCAAAATGTCTAGGATAACATCATTTACAACCATGTCCGATAATACTGGCCATCCTACAATCATAATAATTCGAGAAAATGTAGCTTCAAACTGAATTAGGGCAATAGGCACCAATGTCTAACACAGGCAGGTGTGATTAGAGGCCCAACTTTGTCAAGTTTCTCATACTTCGACAGTTCACAATGTCTAGGATAACACCATTTACAACCATGTCCAATAATACTGGCCAGCAGACAAAGTGTATCTTAAATTTGGACAATAGCATCAATGTCCAATACAAGCATGTCTCAAAATCTAACACGGCCAGTTTCCACGAAATTTGATCTACATAAATGTGTCTATGATTCATGATGCTCATACACATGTCCTGATGAATATCCAAGTATCCAACTAAACGCAGCTCCAATTCGAGCACCAAAGCACAACATAGGCGCCACATGTTTTTAGGGATCCAACACTGCTCATTTTCTAAAATTTGTCCAAAATCGACATATTGATCAGTCATATTCATACCTCATTACCTCATGTTCCACAATATTTGACTATTAAATAAAGTATCTACGATATGGCATTTCACCAATTGACATCATAAAAATCTTTTGAACACTTAAAAAATACTCCACTTATTTAACTAGCTAAAAATAGATCCAAAGCTAACACCCCTTCATTAGCTCTACTGAAAACTAATTTTTGTATCCAATTTAAACTCAATTCTTAGTAAACAAGATCGAAACTTTGATCAAACAAATCTAAACAAAAAGCAAACAAATTAAATCACAGGAAATTACAAAATCACACTGAAAGCACACCTTTTTTTTTACATAAATTCCAGAAATCAACACAAAATTCTCAAAATCAAACAAAACCCACGATCCTTAACATCAAATCATCAAATGGGTCGGACATAATTTTCCACATTTTCACATTTCAATCAAACCCCATCACTAAATTACATGAACTAGCAAAAACCCACCAAATACACTTGCATAATTTGAAATTTTAACCAAAAAAAAAAATTAGAGAAAGGGAAAACCTGAAGGAGAAGGATGATGGTAAAGAGCAGCAGATGATCCTGTTCGCTTTCTTTTCCCCATAATTAACCGATAATTTTGGACAAATTAAAAATTTAAGCGGCTGAAAATGGGTGATTTTGCCAATTAATCCACCAAAAAAAAAAAAAAAAAAAAATAGGAGTAGTATTTTGCTGCTCTGATTTTCTCAATGGGTCGCTAGATTTTGGGTCGAAGAAAATTGAGGAAATGTAGAAAAAGGGAAGAAATAGCGGAGAAAGAGAGAAAGATGATGTAAAATTATGATCAACAATTTCTTCAATTGTTCAAGGGAAGTCAATTGAAGACACGTGTTGTTTTATCTTTATGTTGGGAATCTCATAGCTTCTTCCAGATTGTTTGCTTTGCTTTGATATTTCTGACGATCAATGTTTCTCAATCTAAAATATCTGATGGAGTTTTCAAAGAAATGCCGACTAGTATAATACTTCAAATCAAAGACTCAAAGTTGGTTTACTCTATCTATATTATATAGAATAAAGGTCTATTCTAATTGGTTTCAAAAAAAAAAAAAAAAAAAAAGGTCTATTCTAATTTACTGAATTGAGTGATACTAAATTGATTGGAGTTGAACTGAATTAAATGGAACTGAATTGTTTATGAGAAAAAAAAAATAGGAATTGAATTGAATGGAACTGAATAGTGTAATAGGCTCTTTATTTTTAAAGTGCACCAATGTACTCTACCTTTGTTTCACATTTTTTGCAACTCTGAAGGGTGCATGAATTCCTAGACTAAATTTGTTTTGTGAGTGTAAGATAGATAGAGAAAATTAGAAATGCATGTGATGAAGAGAGAGATACAGAAAAATGATAACCTAAAAAAGAAAGAAAATATTAGTTGCAAATAACGTGTAGCATCCATTTTTTTTTTACCAAAGTTGCAAAAAATATGAAATGGAGGTAATACATTATTTAGTCAAATTACAAAATACAATGTGTACTTGCGTAATATTCTATACAAATCATAAACACTTCATCTATTATAGCCTGTTCACATTTAGTGAACTGAACTGATTGAAGTTGAACTGAACTGAACTGAATAGAGGTGAAATAAATATTTTATGAGAGAAGGAAATTATGAGCTAAATGGAAATTAAGTTGAAGTGAACATGCCCTTAGTGCTTGTGTTTCATTGACTGAACTAAACTTATTATAGCTGAACTGAACTAAACCGAACCTATTAGAGATGAATTGAACTGAACTGAAGTGAAATGAATATTTTATAAGAGAATGAAATTAGGAGCTGAACTGATTGAATTAAACTTAACTTATTAGAGCTGAATTGAACTGATCTGAAAATAATCGTATGAGAACAAACTCTTAATCATTTCACATGGACCAAGAATTTAACCAATTCAACCAAACTACGAAATAGCACTCAACTCCTCTTAGCCCACTCGACTCAAAAATACTTGCAAAAAATTCCTCATCGAGCCTTCTCGAACCCAAAATCTATCATAACCCAAAGTCTATTGACACAAAACCCAAAAAGAGCTAACCTCAAGCAGAGTTCATCAATATCTAAAGATGTTCAGAAAAGCAATTGCCGCCGGCGCCGGCGTTCACCAACCATGGCGCATGATTTCCCGGCGACATTCCTCCGTCGTATCCTCCGCCGTCAACTCTATCTTACTCCGCTCACTCAAAGACCACTACCTTGAAGTCTCCAAGATGGCCCCACCACCGGTAAAAATCCTTAATTTTTGTTAAACCCTAATTTATTTGTTTATTCAATAATTCAATTGATTGTTTTGCAGAAAGTTAACCCACCTGCTGATTTCACGATTATGAAGGGGGCATTGGATTCTAATGGCCCAGTACTAAAGAGGAATTACAAAAATGAGGAAATTAGTATTTCTGTAATGAGATTAGCTAATTTTGTTACTGAGGAAGATGAAAATGATGATGATGATGGTGGGATTAATCAATTGTTTGTTCATGTTGATGTTTCGAAACCTGGGATGAGTGATTCTATGCATTTTCTTTGTTGGATGTACCCGGATGCTGTGGGGATTCACTCTGTTGCACTCAGACCTAAGACTACTGATGAGGGGTTCCTTATGATTCCTAACAAATACACCGGCCCGCTTTTCGAGTTCGTTTCTTGTCTCTCTCTATTAGTTGATAGTTTGTTTGCTTGTTTATTATCAAATTATATTGTGTATTTGTTGGTTACTTGATAATGTTCGTTTATTCAATGATTTGATATTTTGATATGGTTGTAATGGGGTTTTGAAGGTGTATTTAACTTTGAAGTGCCTAAGAATATTTGCTTATTTTTGCCCGGTTGTGTTCTTGTCAATTTAGTTCCATGAGATTGTGGGGGGTTTTGATGTGTGAATAATCGGTAAGGTACATTGTAAATGGTGATTCTTTTTTGCTTAGGAAACTAAAATTGAAGATGTTTTGGGGGGGTGAATAGGACCATTTCGTGTGGTTTCTAAACCTAGATTATTGAAGTGATGTGAGGTGGGGTGGAATGGTGGATTGCTTGATTTTGGAAGTAGAGATGGATCGATGTATATGCTTTCTTGATTGGTTGCCTCTAGTGAAGTGGAGTAGCCCAGGTCAATGATATAGGTTAGAATCCTTAACGTCAAGTATATGAAGGGTTTCTGCTGTTGATGGAAATGGCTTAGGTATGAACTTTGAATGATAATTATTGTGAAACTAGCAGTTGGATGTAGTGATTATATGTCAATGATGTATCAACTGAGGTGCAAAGATTATAACTTTATAAGCAACTTGATACCAAGAAGGCTGTTGTAGTTATCTTACAATTAGATCATAGAAATATTTGAAGGTTAGACTTACTCTGTCAACTTGTCTAGTAGTGTATTCTTCTAATTAATCATCTGTATTGCCTTTCATCTGCTATGCAAGGTCTTTCCCCTCTACAAAATGTTTCTGTTTAGGATAGGGTTGCATTGGCCACTCATTGAATAAAGGTTATCGTTTTTTGTTGATTGTTCTGTCATTTACTAATTGCCTGCTCTAATTTTGGATGGATTATTGTTTAATTCTTGATTTTGAATCAAAAAGTTGAAATATTTACCTTTATATGCCTCTATGATCCTTAAAAACAATTCTATTTCCATACCCAGCCTCATACACAACTAGATGTCTATTGTTTATCTATTCAAAAAAAAGATGTCTATTTTTTATCCATGGAGTTGTAGTTGTGGCATCTAGAGCACATTTGACAACATAGATATATATCATCAGCAATAGGGCACACCTGGCAAACATCAACCTGATATACTGCTCAGCTTAATCAACTTTATATTTGCTTATTTAGAGCAATATATTTCAAGTCTAAGCCAACCTGCAGAGCACGATGGTTATTCATTGATATAGTCAGCATTAGGGCATACATTGGCAAGCAATAACCTGATACACTAGGGTCTCACTCTGTTCTTATCAATGTCTCTTCTGCTATTTTCTTCTGTTCATTTCCCTACAGACAATATGTAATCAAAGTTGATATGTTAGGTAGTACAACTAATAATGATATGCCGGGAACACCAATTTTGAGAACTAATGGAACGGAAGGGGGAAATTTGCAATAGAAGAAAAGTTTTCAAACGGCAAATTATTTTGATTATTTTCACTGTAACTTCCAAGTTCCAACTAGTTTTATGGGACTGCTGAGAACAACCCATTTTTTTATTTTTGTATCGTACCCCTTGTGAGTGTTTATGCAAATTTTTTTGGTTTAATTATTATTATTTCTTTTTTCATGATTGGATACAGCTTTAAAATTTTATCTTTAACTAATTTAATTGGAGGAAGATTATCAAATTATCTATCATTTTGATTATTTGATGTATTTTTTAAGGTAAATCAGAAAATTAGTTGTCAGGAATACCTTATTTTTGAAATTTGGAATAGTGGGGAGAGTTGAGTCATTTCTACAGATTATTTATAGTTGAATACTATTTGCTTGAACAATTAAATTAGATATTGGATTCTTGTTCTTTTTATTTGGTTTAATAGATCCCCACAACTCTATCCGTAAATGTTTAATTTTGACTCCTTTTGATCATGTACTTTTTTATTTATGCTTGATGGGCGTCCTGTTTTGTGCCATGCCCATGACAAAATCCTGTATTGGTGTAGCATCAATGCTTGTTTAAGACACAAAATGCACATACTTGTTGGCATTTGATATTGAAATGGGCTTTTTGACTTATATCCAAGTTAATTAAAGTTTTTTTTTTTTTTTTTTTTTGAGGGGTTGTATAGGTGTTAGTTTCAGATTGGGAGTTGTTCGAGAAATGGTAATTTGGTTAGGATAAATGGATTATTAATCAGTTTATCACAGATTCATAAGTTTTGTGCTTTTATTTTGATTTACTCTTATCAATTTGAATTCTGGTCTAGATGTGTTAGTAATTGAGTTTTTTGTTGATTGAGAATTACTGTTTTCTTCTATGAGCTGATTTTAAGGAAGATTTGTATGTTTCAAATTGGTATGAAGCACACAATATCGAAGATAATTGCTGTATAACAGATATTTGGGTCGTTAAGAGTCTACCTTGGATTTTGACCAGGCGTATATGTTTCGCAGCTTCATTTGATATTGTTTTGTTTATTTGACTATGTAAGGTTATAGCATGTCTTAATGTCTTATTAGCAAATATTTTGAAATGTTGAAGGTGAACAGATTTGTTTTCCTGAAATTTAATAAACTTGGATGTCCCTCTCATTAACAGAAATCTTGATGAAGCAACAAGAGATGCCTTTCACAATTATATAGAGGAACGTGGCATAAATGAGAGTCTTTTTCCTTTCCTTCAAGCATGGCTATATGTAAAGGATCATCGGAATCTTATGCGCTGGTTCAGGTCAGTTGGTCTTTTTGTCAATGGACGCGAGACGGACAAAGGAACAGATGAGGCAGCTGCTAATGCTAGTAAATCCAATGCTGCTAAAGGTGCTTAATAGTCTTTGCAACATTTAGGCTATTATACAAGTATTATATTGCCAATTTGGTGGGACATCAGATATGTACCTGTTTTGAGATTAGTTAACAAGTGAACCGTTATTTGCACGTCTAGAGATTAGAGTTGCTTGATGCTCTTCAGTTTTGCACAGTTGAGGAAAATCTTCGTGGTGACAGGCTTATACTTATTTCAACAGTTTATATTAATCTATGCTTCACTTAATATAGATGATGCTCTTTTTGTAGTCGTCGAGTAGTCATACAATTTCAATGGCCTTCGTCACTGACCATCTCTGGTTCTAAGATTTCTTGTAGTAAACAACTCATTGTGTTGAACATTTTGTATAGCTTTTTTCTTCATATTCTGATCAAGAAAATGTATTGGCCTTTCGTCAGTGTCTTTCCAGGTATTCAGATGGTATATTTTCTGGACAACTTTTTTCCAAATTCCTTGTGCCAACAAAGAGCTAAAGAATATCACAGAAAATTTTCTTGTTTTTTTTTCTTATGACATTATCTATCAATGCTTGACATGGCAACACAATGTACATGCACTATTATTTTGATTTTTTCGGGCTTATAATCTAGAATAAAAATAAAAGTTGATATGTGCCATTACTTTAGATTATTCTGTGATCATGATATATGCAACCCTAATGAGTAATGACCAAGTACTACTCGTAGTATTACTCTGTAATATACGTAGTATTTCCTAAATCGGTGTTAGTCTAAGATTTTGTGATCATATCACATCACAAATAATGTCTTTAAAACTTAGCCGTTGTTTTTTTAGAAACAAAAAAAAATACGAAGTATATATAGTATTATACGAAGTTCATGAATCACATGAAGCCATGAACTATATAATTCTATGAAACACCTTTTTTACAAGTATATATTTTGGCCCACACCACCTTTTAAAAATGTGAAATGATGTTAGCCAATATTGGGCCTTAGCTTGTCATTTACGGATAATGATAGTTGATTAATGTGTTGCTTTAAAGAGTTGATGATGAGTGATAAACTCATCTTCTAGATAAATAAAAAGATAAAGTTGATCTCTCTTTAATTTTGTGTGGATTAAACTCTTTAGCAATGATGTAGGTTTCCTCTTCTGTCTTATTGCATGAGTATTTTACTACTCAATAGTCTCAATACTCATAGTTGATATTCAAAACTTTTTCTAGTGTTTTTGTTTAGATGGTGGGGGATATAGATGATCCATCGATCCCCTCTGGCTCTGCGATTGTCTCACCAATTTAATAAATACGAACTAACCGATAGCAGTCGGTATGGTCTTGCAGACTACGGCTGAGAAAGGTTAGGGGAGAGAATTTGACAGAGATAAAAGAATGGAAAAGTATTTAGTAACATTGTTACTAATCTCAATTTATCTTAAGACAAAAATAATTTATGTATTGACAATCATGAAAAGAAAATGTCAGGACTAAAAATTACCAGAGGAAGATGTTAGAAAATTTCCCAAAGGTGAAAATGGGTTATTTTGTTAAGAATTAGATATATTTGTATCATTTTTCAAATTATGTTACTCTAGATCAAGCAAAGCACTATCTCAAAAGTTGATTTTGGTGATTTGGCAAAGCACCATCTAATCTATTATACTGTGGTAAATAGAGCTTGGTTAGCCTTATTGGTTTGATTTTTTACAAAAAATTAGGGCTTGTTCTCATAGACTGAACTCAGCTAAACTGAGCTGAACTGAAATTAATATATTTATAAGAGAAAAAAATTAGGAACTGAACTAAACTAAACTAAACTAAACTGAACTGAAAATAAACAAATGAGAACAGGCCCTTAAAGTTGACCTTTTTCGTTTCAAAATATAAGCCGTTGTTTTTAATAATCCAGTATTTAGAGCAAATTCCTTTTCTATCCCCCGGTTAAATTGTCATTGTTTAATGCAAAATATAACAGGGACAGTGCCTAGTTGCCTGCTGGATACTATGTTACAAACAGTCAAACATGTAGACATACACATAAGGAAATCTTTTTTTGTGATTCAACCATAAGATAATACAAGAATTATACTCATATTATAATACCTGACCATGTCTCATCATTTTCCTCTTGCAATATACAAATGAGTAAGATTCATGATTAATAATAACTCTATCACTGAATTATTCTCACATGTGCTATTAATGGACAAGATTCACAAGGAAGCAATGGATTTTATACAAATTCTTAAATAGAACTGGTTCACACTAATTTATTGTGGACCACTAACATTAGGGAAATCATGGTTGTTTTATTAGAAAAAAAACGGTCATTATAATAGAAAAAAGGTCTCTATGTTGAAATAAAAGTCATTTTGGTAATATATATGCTATAAAAGGTTAATTTTTGTAATGAAATATTTTATATAGTGGTTAATTTGAATAATAAAGATCACTATGTTAAAATTAGGGCCATAACGTTGTACTTTAAGTTCACAATAATATTAAACGTTATACTAGTTTTAATAAAGGTTATTATGTTAAAAATAAGGTTATTATGTCAAAATTAAGGGTCACTCTGTTCAATATAATGTCAATTTCGTGTGTATAAACCTCGGGTTCAAGATTTTCTGTGGATTTTAACGTATATTTAAATTTAAATAAGGTAAGTTAAAGTTGTATAAAACAAACAAAAAAAAATGATCAATAGATCGATTTTATGATCCTATGACAACATTGAAACAAGTGGGTTCAATTGATCCCACTAACATAAAAAAGTTTTTTTTTTTTTTTTTAATGTAAACTTATGCTCCAACACTTTAACGATTTTAAAAATTAAAATAAATAAAAAAAATTAACTGTACTTAATAATATTTGAATCCACTTACCAATATCTTTGGCTTTATTACTGTCTTCAAAGACTAAATTTTATTAATAAGGGTACAGTGATTTGTGATATTATTGACCAATGACTTATCAATTAAGACCGTATCCAAGAATCGGAGATGACAAGGCTGTAAGAGGAAAGAAAACCTCGATCCTAAAAGAAGATAACAAGGATGAACACTACCTATTATAAGATGTGAGGAATGATAAGAGGAGTAGTGATTTCCACTCCTTTCCTAAATCAATTAAGGTGCAAAGTAATTGGTACCATAATAAATATTGTACAAACACAACACAAGGACAAAAACATTAAAATGATGAGAGAAAAAGTATCATAGGAGTAAGTAAGAAGCCAAAATAACGACAGGTTGTTTATGAAAGGGAAAAGTAGAAGGGTGATGGCCTAAGGCTAATAACCCAAATTGAGTGGAAATGAAATTTGGCCAGATTTTGCAAATTTAATTGCATAATTTGTGATTGATCTATTTTGCCAAACAATCCAACCTGGCTTACGTAGGGACATATATTTAATTAGCTAAATTACAAATACCCCACAACTAAATTTAGTTATATTGGGACAGTACAACTATTTTTTTTTAATAAATTAATTACAAATACTCCTAACTGACCGAGTAACTTTTAATTAACTGAATCCTCTGACCGAGTAACCTCTAATAGATTGGTAATCCATGATCGATCAAGTAACCTCTGGCCATGTAACACCGGTGACACGGTGTGGCTAGCGACATATGTAAAACTTTGCGTTATTATTATTATTATTGTTGTTATTTTGGTGAAACAATTGATTAATTTTAGGTCATGTGTTAGACAAGGATCTAAAAGTGGACCTTATTGGTGAGTAAACTAGGTGAGATTTTAGCTATCCCATGCATCTACAATTTGGGCAAGTGATCTTGATAGTTGATATCAAATCTGATCAGCAAGAGGATCCAAGGTCCTTAATTTATTGACAATTATTTATTTATTTATTTGGTTGGTGTCCCTGGAAATTGTTTAATAGGATATATATCATCTCATAGACGAATTGAATAGATCGATGAATTACAGATTTAGTTACTTGACTTGCTTCTTGTCATTCTCAATATAGTGGCGTTGATTTCTAGTTTTATGATCTTGAATTCGATGAACTTATAAAGGTTAAAGTATGAGTTTGTGTTATTCACAACCAAATAGTTACGAAGTAACAAAAAATGAGACCAAATTGAAGGAAAATAATATAATTGCATCCATTTAAGATTGATAACATTTTTATAGAATCATGTCAAAATAATTTGAAAATACTTAATGTTGTTTAAGTTTGGTTCTATAATACAAATATTCTATAACATTGTGTAAAAAAATAAATAAAACAAAAATGTCTTTTTGAAGCATGTAATTAAGGAGTATTTTATGTTAAAAACATGTTACTTCTTATTTTATACGAAAATCTATATATTACGTGTCCATATTATTTGATGGGCTATACCCAGTTTATTATTGTCTTTTCGAGTATCAATGGAGGGGTATATGCGTCTTTTCATGTACTAGTTGAGGGGTACATGTGTAATTTTTTCACCAAACAGTAAAAGCAAAAAGCAAACAGTAATTAGACAGCTCACCAAAAGTATTGAATAAATGACCCTATTTTTTCAATATATATACAAAAATGTCATCAGATTAACAAAAATTCGTTTATTTGGCAGATTAACTTTTATTTTCCCTTATTTGATAGGGAATATTAATGTTTGATTATTGCTTCAACAATTTGGACAACCGAGCAATGAAAAATAAGACTACATATATACACAATTAAAATTAGTGTTGTTGAAAGGTAATTGGTTAGAATTAAGTGTGAATTGACAATTGCAAATTCAATTGAGAATAAGTAAGAAAAAAGTTGTATAAGAGTTTAATTAAGTTCACACTTCTACTTCATTGGTATTTAGTAGATAAAACGATAGGGAATAAAGACGAATGAGAAAAGTGCATATTACTCATGTTAACATATTCTTTTTTTCTTAAAAAGTTTAGTGGGTCCTTGTTTAATTTAGTTAAACACTTAAGAGTGGCTGAGTAGGTCTTAAGTCCTAAGAAACAAGATGATATTCCAAATGCTTATTTAAGATTCGAGGGTAAGATTTAGACGTGTTATTCTCAAAGAATTTAATTTCACTTAATTCAGGCAAAATGTGATTTTATATAAGACAAGATTAAAAAGTATTTTTGGCTCAAACACACACAATCATCCCTTTTTTGATCGTTTTTTTAAATTAGCTAGTCTTATACGAGTATAAGATGAGACTCAAATCCACAATGCATTTACAAATTTAAGTTAATTCTAAGCTGCTTAACCACATATATATTCCCCTTATGTATGCATATTAATTATCTAATATTATCTTAGGGGCGCATACATTTGGTTAAATTATTTTGTGCTTTTTTGCTTGCATTCGAAATTTTCAATGATTTTGTAAAATGTTACTATGTTAGTTTTCCTCATGTATATGTATGAGTAGCGATTTCAAAAGAAATCAAGCAGTAAATCTAGGGTGTGTTC